GGCAAAAAAATCGTTATGACATCATAAAGTGGCCAAAATCTGATCAGCTCATTTTCAGACAGGTTTTTATATAAATGGATGAGGACAAAAAAGTGAGAGAATCATTTTTTCTGAAACTTTCAGAATCACTTTACACAGAGGCATGTTAATGTATAAAAGACATGAAAAAGTGGATTTTGCATAATAGGTGACCTTTAAGCTTGCTACACCCATACTGTGCCATAAACGTTTTGGAGTTTATAATCCACCGCATTTTGTTTATACATGTGTTTCCAACCTGTGACTGTTGTTTATACACTATTGTCCAAAGACTGATGTGCAACAATGAGCGCTAAAGTGTTTCAGGCACCTTTCTCTCCAGACGTGTGTTATATTGTGCGATCACTCACCCACACTGGGCGGGATGTTGTCCAGGCGGGCCTGCAGAGAGCTGCTCCCCTCTACCTCATTGTCGGTGATGTTGGCCTCCAGGAAGGACACACCAAACTCTCTCTCATTCACCATGCCTATCAGGCTGCCTCTGGTCCTTCGGGGAGACTCTCCTTTAAACATAAAAAACACAAACACAATTATATAATTGGTAACTATTCATAACATATTTTTATTTCAGACTTTGACTTGATTTATTAAATGCCCAAACCAACACTGTAAAAATACCCAAAGCTCACAGTCGCACATTTCTTGTGTGCATATTTAAAATGTATAATAAACTGTTTACTGATGCACAAAGCTTGACCAATATATGTTAAAACATGCAATGTGGTATGAATCCAAAATATTGAGAATATGAACTACTGTCTAAAGTAAAGGAAGACAAACAAAAAGTAAATTCAGACCTGCACAGAGACCGGCTTGACATTTCCTCGAGTCGATACTGGGATCGCTGCAGGACCGGCCACCGTTAACTGGTTCTGGGTTGTTGCATAATCTGATTCGTTCTTGGAAGCCTTGTCCACAGGTGCTGCTACATGGACCCCATTCCTCCCAGTTGGAGTAGCCTCCATTTACTTTTTGTAGAGAGAAGAGAAGACAATAACCAAAAGGCTTTCAGAAAAGTTTTCTGAGAGGTAGGAAATTCAATTCAGTAAAAAGAGACACTATTAAATGTGCAGTACAGTAGCTTGAACCAATATATGACAAAGACAAGATGAAAACCAAATGCAAAAGTAGTGGTGGTATGAAATGAACTGCTTTTACTAGCATGCTGGGACAATGTGTGTAATTTTTAGTAGAGAACTCACTCTGAACCTTGAGAGAAATGGTCCTCTCAGCTGTTCCAGCTTCACTCTCAGCCACACACTGGTACTCCCCTTCATCAGCAGCCTGTATATAAAACAGGAGGAGAGTTTGGCTAAATTGACAAACTGAGGATCAATTTCCCTCTGATGGTCCAGGACAAAACTGTGTTAGATCACATATAGCTTCAGGGTGAAAGAAAGCTGGCATTTTCTACGTGGGCAGTTGAGACCATTGAACTCTTTTTCATAATAAATATTATTGGACCAGAGAGAGGACATTTCACATTAGAGGGCTCCATGGGAAGGACAGTCATCTGTATGTGAGAAAGTCTTAACTGCAGGCTGTGGAGTTAGAGATATAACAAGGTTACAGGCCAAGGGGAGAGGAGCAGAGTCTGGGAACACCCAGCTCTCTGTTCATCTCCTCCCTCTGTTGCTAGTGCTGTTAGCCTCTCTGACTGCGCTGATTCTGATTTCAGGACAATCTCTCCCTGTTCTTACATCCAAGGGGACTGCGGATAGAGCCTGGGCAGGATAAATACTGCTACATTGATTTTCAAGTTACAATTTATTGATGTAAATAGTTTGCTCAAGGGCGCTTACTTATTCAAACCTAGTTTAATAATACTAAGTGAGAATTGCTCTTAAATAATGGAAATACAGGACAAATATAAAGGGAACTCTGTATTTACAGTGATGCTGTAAATGACCAAGGATCCGTTGTGCAGCGCTTGCATTCGGATGGAGCGGAGCAGTGGTTTGTCATCCCGGAGCCAGTGGAGGACCGGGCTGGGGTCTCCGTGGACGGGACAGTCGAGCATAGCAGAGCCCCCCTGGACGACCGTCTGAGACATGTGGGCTTCACCCTTCAACACCGGAGGTTCTGGAGAGACATGTTTATAAGATAATCAAGGTGATTTCAGTATCTTCAGAAGTTAAAATAGATAGTTGAAATGTTGACAGGAAGCTCACCTCTGATGCGGACGAATGAGAGCGCTCGGATGGAGCCCACACTGTTTTCTGCTATGCACACGTAGGTCCCAGCTTCACTCATGGTCACATTCTCAATGATCAAGGAGCCCCTGCCAGCATCGTCTACAGTGGCACCTAAAACATGCATAACATGGTTAAAAGTTAACTTAAAATCACTGTATTAGAGGAACTAACATTGGTTGCAATTCATGTTACTTAAATCAACAGATGCTGCCATCCTAATTTGGTTTGTTACTACATTGTAATAATTTGTGTAGGTAGAAGTGCTGTGCAGCTCACTGTAAAGGAAGAGAATACCTGTGTAAGGACTGTTGTTGACGGTCCAGGAGATGACAGGTGATGGTGTTCCCTGAGCGTGGCAGGACAAGGCCAGACTCTGCCCTTTGTTCAGGGTAACATCACCCGGCAGCTCCTTGAAGGCGGGCCTCATGTTGACGGACAGACGGATGTTTTGTTTTGCAGAGCCTGCTGCATTAGTGGCTACGCATGTAAACACTCCAGCATCCCCTGACTGTGTGTAGGAGGAAATCAGAATTGATTTATATGCTCAGAACTAGACAAAAATATGGTTTACAAAGCATTGAGGAATATTGCTCGTTTGGCTAACCTTGGCCCTCTCGATGATCAGCTCTCCTGATCGCAGGACAGTGAATTTGCCTGGAAGTCTGGGCACAATGACACCATCCTTCTCCCATGTCACTTTGGGCTCTGGAGACCCCTGAGCAGCACAGGGCAGCAGCGCCTGAAATCCTTGAATGACTGACAGGTCTGTCTGTGCAGGAGCAATCATGGGCTGGACTGAAAAGCAACATGTTTTCTATTAATATAGCTATTAAACGTAAACCTACCATTTTCAGTCTTCACATGTTTTAAATGGCACTCTTAACTCACCTTGTATAATCAGCCTCATGTCGTGGCTGGCTCTGCCAGCCAGGTTTTTGGCAGTACATGTGTACAGGCCTGCGTCACTGCGCTGGGTAGAAATAATTGCCAAGGTTCCATTGGCAAAGATGTGGATATGAGCGCCGTCAACAACAGGCCGCCTCTCCTTATGCCAAGAAACCTCAGGCTGAGGCTGCCCATCAGCAACACACTCCAGACTGACTGGCTGGCCGAGCACTGCAGTGTACTCCACACGAGGCACACTCAGCACAGGGGGGACTGGAGGAACATTACATTAACAAAAATGAATTTATACTCTTTCAAAATAGTCTTTCTTTTGTAATAAGTAGTAACCAGTTTGACTTTGATGATAACGATAGAGAAAGCTGAATTTTCTTCCGATATGTAAAGATAGAAAGTTACCTTGTAGGACTAGTTTGGTCCGGCCCAAAGCGACACCAGCTTCGTTCTTTGCCAGACACTGGTATGCCCCCGCATCACCAAGTGTGACACGAGAAAACTTCAGAGCTCCATTCGAGAGCAGAGCAAGCCTGTGACCTGTAATCAAGAATACAGTAACATCACATGAGCGTGAACATCAGACCAGTTTCCATGACCTCCAGTGGGCTTACTGTAGATATATCTGACTGATGGGTAGTATTGCTTCTGTCTACTCTTTAAACAATAAAAGTATTTGTACATTTCTCAGTCGTGGACCTCAATAAATTAATGGAATTTTGGAAAAACAACAATACAGGTTGCTTCAATATCAAATGTTGTATTATAGTGAATGATACCAAATTCCCATTTTACCATACATTAAACTGTGTTTATATAATGAGTGTTGTATTTCGTTTACCTGCTGCTATGGGGACTCCCTCTCTCTGCCAGGTGATGGACGGTCTGGGGAAGCCTTGAACCTCACAGGGCAGAATGGTCCCATGATGCAACACCACTTGTACTTCTTCTGCCATTGGCCTGATCTCTGGGGGCTCTTAAGTGCATGGAAAAAAGATTCCTTTTTTTAAAAACATAAACTGTATTTACATGTTTCACCATATGTGCTCCAACGGATATTTTCACAGCAACATGCAGCCGGTCTGACAGCCTACCTTGCACAGAGAGAGTGATGTGTTTGTGAGCCACTCCAGCTGGGTTGCGTGCTGAGCATGTGTACCTGCCAGCATGGCTCCGCACAGCAGAAATAATCTCCAAAACTCCTGCATTTAAATGAGGAAAGAAATATGTCTTGTTTATGGGCCAAGAAGAAATTCATTGCCCTCTGGCGTTATCGTTTCTGAAGAACCATGATGTGTACTAATATAAAGAGCATTAGGATTAGGACATGTTGTCGTACCAGTGGGAAGCACCCGATAACTTCCTCCGCGGGCACCCAGTTTGGCTCCACCCTTGGTCCAGGTGACAGTGGGCTGAGGACGTCCTTGTACTTGACATGGCAGCACCACCGGGGACATTTGCACAGCCGTAACTGTCGTGACATCATCTTCAATAGATGGCGGGACTAAAACAGCAAATTAATTAATTAAAAAGTCTGAAATGACTTATCTATTGTCTGCTTAATGTACAGAACTGAAAAACAATACCTCTCAGGATGACCTCAATGACCTTGCGCTCCTCCCCAACGTCATTCACAGCGGTGCACTCAAAGTAACCCTCATCCTCAGTGGTCGGTGTCAAAAGAACCAGGGACCCAGAGGACAGTAACCTGGAAGCAGTTAGGTCATATTTTAGGTTTAATAGCTGTTTTTTTGTTGTATGTATGCATGTTGTTGACTCAAAGGGAGTACAACCCTAACTTTGTCTTTACCTGTATGCACCAGGCTGCTGGCTGATATCGAGTGGAGTGCCGTTCCTCTTCCAGGTTACTTCAGGTGGGGGTGTACCTGTGATCTCACAGCTCAGCACAGCTCGGACCCCTTCGGTCACCGTCACATTGAAGGGACCTGAACTGATGGAAGGACCCACTGATAGGAGAAGAGAGGAGTTTCACATGTTAAAATATATCCTAAAAAGTATTTTAACATGACATTGCACTGTAAAAGAAACAACAAAAGAATTGCATTATGATAAAATTGCTGGACAATAGTTGTTGCTTTATTACCAAACACTCGTAGATCCAAACCCCGGTGATCTGAGCCAGCCTGGTTAGACACAGTGCAGTAGTATCGACCGGCATCACTCAACTGAACCCCATGTACATGCAATGAGCCCTCTGATAACACGGTGTACCTGAAACAAATACACATATAAAATATCAATAAGTAGATACCAAAGTGTGTAGCTGTGTTTTTGGTACATGCCAGGCTCTTAAAACTTTTTAAAAGTAAGATTCAAGCAGTTTTAAGGTAATTAAATCAATTTTTATCATACAATATGTTAAATGGTAACTGAAAATACAATTGCAAAAAATAAAGTTAACATAATTCCTTTATAGACAGAGCAATGATTAGATATAACATTAGGTTAGGCTGAAGCATCTTTTTCAAGTAGTATATTCAAATTCAAGAATATTCCTTACCTTGCAAACATCACAGGTAAAAAGTAAAAACACTGAACCCATGGAAAAGTTAAATATAACAAGGACAGATTGCACAAAGTAAGGACCTACTTATTGTTATCTTTAGTTATAGGGAAGCCATCTTTCCTCCACATGACCGTAGCTGAAGAGTCTCCTTCAACTTCACAAGGTAGAACTGCATCCTGGCCAACATGTGCAGTCACTTCTGAGCCGCTCTTCTTTATAACTGGCGGTACTGGAGAAATAAAATACAACACATGTAATGAGTTAGGTAAATGATACATTTTGAAAAGGTGTATTTATATCAGCTCTCTGTTTACAGGCGAACTTACAGAGAATCTCCACCGTGAAAAACAGACTGGTGCTTCCTGCTATGTTGGTGACCACACAGCTGTAATGGCCGCTGTCCTCAGGCCTCACTTCCTGTATCTCCAGGTACTGACCCCCAGCCAGCCGCTGTATACGACTGCCCAACTGATGTATACCAGGGGGAGGTAGGGGAGAGAGACAGTGTGTTAGAGGAGTAGGGGTTGGTTTTTTCATTCAATACCTGTTGGTTGTTTTAGAAAGTGTACCTGCAGTTTGGCCTCATCCTTGTACCACTCTATTTCTGGAGCGGGGTCACTGTTAGCCAGGCACTCTAAGGTCAGATGTCCATTAACCGGCACTGTTAACGTCCTCACATCACCAGAGCCAACGAGGGTCGGGGGAACTGAAACACAACCACTGGTTATTAAGAGGTGGATTACAGAAAGTTTCCAGTGAACAATGCCTGAAGTAATGCTCTAAAATAAGGACACGCTATGTAAGAACATGTGGAACGGATCAACTCAGAAGGTAGATCAGGGGCCAGATGTCAACCTCATGTGTTTGCCCTAAAATAAAAACATGCTTAGTTTTCCCTAGCACAACATTCATAAAGAAGTGTGTGCTGTGAGAATGTGTTTCATCACAAATGATTTACTGTCAGTTGATCTGGTTATGTCAAAAATAATCTAAAGAAATGCGTAACTATTGGGAATTTGGGAATTTCATTTCAGCAGCTTAATATGTCTCCCCAGCATTACGTGTTAGAACATCTTTTTATTCCAGCATGAATAAAACAGTAGGACAAACTGTGAAATGGGAGAAGAATGCTGCGCAATCTATCATAAATTACACTTATCATAACATACACTAAAAATGCTCTTATCCTGTTTATGCCTCATCTTGAGTGAATTACTGCATTGCATTAGCCAGAAAGTGCTAATGAGTGCTAACACCGTTTATTACTCCAGAATGTACACAGAACTTTATCCATCAAGTCCCTGGTGAGATTAAGTCAACAGAGTTTACAGTAAGTATTATATATTTCTTCCTAGTTAAACATCAGGGCGCAGCTTGTGTCACCTTGGACTTGGACCCAGTGGTTCTTTCCATCCTCTCCAGCTGGGCTGCTGGCCAAGCAGGTGTACATACCTGCATCCTCCACCTTTAAAGAGACAACATTAATCAACAGGAGTGGTTCTCGCATGACATTGCCTCAACTTCCTGTTGATTTATTTCAGGTACGTTGGGGACGTTTTCACTGTTTAAACTATCTATTAAAGGATTGAGTTACAACCAAAGCTATTATATTGGTTCTTATATGAAATATTAAAGCTGCAATGACATGATAAAGGTTTTTGTTAGTTAAAGAAGATTAACTTTTTTTCCAATACCTGAGTACGTCTCTAAATAAATCTTCTGTATGCATGTTTTTACTATGGATTCTTGACTACTTGATCATTAACTTAGCAATATGATCAGATATTTTCTATTTCAGAAACGGGTTTATTGCCAGGTAGGTTCACACATACGAGGCATTTGACTTGATGTCATGGTGAATGCATAAAATATAAAACAAAGAATCTCCATATAAAACAAAAAATGTAATATAAAACTAAAGATCTTTAAGGACACTATAATAAAATATAGTTAAATAGCAATAAAATAAAGCAGTAATTTACAGCAAAATGGAATGCAATGAGTTATAGAATATGAAATAAGAATATGTGCAGTAAGCAGTATTTGAACATTGTGTGCATTCATGTAATGCATATAGAGTCTACGTTGTGTCAGTGGGGGGGCCGGGCCTTGTTTAAGAGGCCGGTAGCGGAGGGAAAACATGTGTTATCCACCTGAACTTTGCTAATCCTGATAAAGTGTCCATCCTGCTGAACAATGTCACGTCCTTCCAATGATAGGCCATCTTTGAGCCAGCTGAGGGTGGGAGGGGGGGCTCCCACAGCAGAGCACTCCAGCTCCAGTGGACTGTCCACTGCGATGGTCAGCTCTTGTGGAGAGCTGGAGCTGGTTATCTTTGGAGGCTCTGGAGTAGAAAAAGCAGAAGGTTTTTGCTTAACTGTTCACAGATTTCACACTGACTTTAATTTGAATATACAGATTGTGTTGGTATTACCGTGCACAGTGAGGTTGAAGCTCTTTGTGCTGCTTCCTGCCTGGTTACTGGCCACACAGCTGTAAAGACCCGCATCTGCAGGCGCTACATCAGGCAGCTGCAGCCGTGTCTCCTGTCCGTCCAGCAGCAGGTTGCGGTGAAGGGACAGCGGCTGGCCGTCCTTCATCCAGGTCAGCGTTGGAGGGGGAACGCCTCGTGCTTCACAGGTTAACGTCACCAGAGATCCTTGGACTACTGTGACAGGCTCCACTGGTTCAACATGATCCACAGCAGGCGGCACTGCAGACCACACACACACATCTGCATTAAACCCTCAGATCCAAAAAATCAGTTCAAGGTAAAATACTGCAGGTGGTTTTGTTATGACTGTACCTTGGACCTGGACATCATAGCTGAGCTCGGCAAGACCAGCGCGACTGCGAGCCACGCATGTGTAGAGTCCAGAGTCAGACAGCTGTACCGGAGAAATCCTTTTTCATAAAGAGAAGGGAACAGTTTTCATGAGCTCATTTATAAACATGTAATCTATTTCCGAGTGATTATGTTTGTGTCAGAAAACTTGTCTAAACTGACCTCAGCACAGAGTCAGCAGATAGGAGGCGTGCACGAGGAGAGAGGAGCAGAGGGCGGCCGTTCTTCAGCCAGCTGATCTGAGGTGGAGGGTTTCCTGCTGTCTGACACTCCAGAGTCACAACACTGTCCTGTGTGACCTGCACCTCTCTGGGCACAGCGCTCTCACCAGAGATGGATGGTGGGACTGTGACAAGTCAAGTCATATCAAATGAAAACAAATCCCTCAGAAACTTAAACACTTTCACAAATAAAGATAACATTTTCAAACTGACCTAGCACAAAGAGGGTGTAGATCTTGCTCTCCTGTCCAGCAGGGCTGACAGCCAAACAGGTATATGTCCCAGAATCCTCGGGGCTCAGTCTCAGTAAAGTTAGCGTGCTGCCATCAGGGGTCACACTGCAAGGTTACAAATACACATTGTGGTTTTTTTCAGCTGTTTCTTGCTTGAAGAATTTATGAATGCTTGATGTTTCCTGCTAGTTACTTAATCCATTTCACTGAGTGAACTATCTCACCTCTGAACCTCACAATTACTCTCCATCATCATTATTATCATCATCCCACGACTTTCTCACAGTCGCACACACACACACACACACACGGACGTTTGCTTTCTCTGGCTGATGCAGTTGCAATGACTGAAGAATCTGCCGACCAGCTGTAAGGCAGCTGCTCTTACTGTTCCTCATGATGAAATTAAAGAAGGAACATAATGGCTCGATTTGTCTGTTCACACATCACTCTGTCATGCACATAATTGCTGAAGATGATTTGTATTATATTTTCAATCCATTAGGGAATGGTGTTGATCGATTTGTGTGCTGCTTGTTTAACTAATTCAGCAGCTTTCAGAGCAAAATGCATTCCATAATGGTTATTAATACTGTCACTTCATATCGCTCTGTGTGCATGTCAAGATCCGGCAATAAGTGGGAAGAGTGAATGACTTACGAAATATGACGAGCATCTGATCCCTCTAAAGTCACTCCGTCTTTCAGCCAGCTGAGGCGTGGTGTTGGGATTCCTGTTGCTCTGCACTCCAGGGTCAGCTCCTCTCCCATGGGTGCACTCACATCAGATGGAAGTTCAAAGTCCAGGATGGTAGGCGATACTGAGTAGGACAAAGATTACAGCTAAATGCCACTGATAGCAATTCTTCTAGGAGTGAGACGTATCATTTTCTAGGGCGATAGTGTCTAATTTTCCTCTAATGTTCTGGTTTACCCTGCACCGTGAGTATGTAGTCTTTCTGTGTGTGTCCCCCTCCGTTCTTGGCCATGCAGGTGTATGTTCCAGCATGAGACAGAGTGAGAGGCCCCAGCTCCAGCCTGTTCCCTCTCACGGACCACTGCCACTGCAGACTGCTCTCTGGAGAGCAAACACATTCACGTTAACTAGCTTTCACACATCACACATAGTATTCCCATTCCCCTATCATTGCCTCCCTTCATACCAATAGGAGTTCCATCCTTGAGCCACGTGATGCTGGGCACAGGGACCCCCGAGGCCTCACACAGCAGAGACACATGGGAGCCCAGCGTGTAATTTAAGGACTCCGAGAGAGGCCCATCCAGGACAGGTGGAACTGTGGACACACATTGTTAAATAAAAACACTTCCTTTGGTTAAAAGTGTTACTTTGAGAACAAAGGTATTCTCACCATGAACGTTCAGTCTGAAAGTTCTGTCCACCTGTCCGGCCACATTGGATACTCTGCAGGTGTAGGTGCCACCGTCTGCTATCTAGGACCCATACAAAAATGTTATTAAAAAGGAGGGAGTAATTTGAGCACAGGCTTTAGGCTAATAATTGACTTTGCTACTTCCTGCTATGCTAGCTGGTGCAATCGTTATGAATGATGTAAATTAAGAACACTCAAGTGCTGCATCTTGTCACATTTGCAATCATGTCTCCAGTTTATCTTGTCTGTTGTGTATTTGTTTGTGCAATGATTGTTTGAAAGCTACAAATGTACGCCCTAAAAATGTAATATGTTAGCGTGTAATGTCTGGAATTCATTTTGAGCCCTGTCAAAACCACTTGGAGTCCTTAAAATACTTTAGGTTTTGTTTGCAGCCTCAAGCGAATGACGTAAAAAATGAAAAATAAATCCTGACCTGAACTCCTATGATCTCCAGCTGCTGAGCATCAATCTTCAGTCCGTTCCCCGCGGCCAGTTGCAGCCCGTTCTTGTACCATGTGACCTCAGGCGCAGGAACACCATGTGCTTCACATCTCAGGGTGACCGAGGATCCAACTTGCCAGGGGATCGAGTCAGACTCTGCATCTTGTCGGGGCTTCAGGGTGGGCAGGACTGATGGTGTGCACATAAAGACAGGGCCATGATCTCATTTTGATTCATTCAGAATCGCTGATGATTCACTTCTGAACTGTCCTCGGTCACAGCTGGCTTGCGGTAAACAGATTTGTTCAGCCTAGACAGTGTTTTGAGATTTGATCATCTGTATAATGTAGCTGAACTGTGCAGATGGGTCACCATGTGTGTGTTGCTCACCGTAAACACTGAGGAGTATGCTCTTCTGGTCCTGGCCTGCTGAGTTGGTGGCTGTGCATACATACTGCCCAGCATCTTCTAGCCTTGCTCGGGGCAACTGCAGCATCTGGCCGCCTATAATATAAATATAGAATTATATGAAATGTAATATATGGGCCATTATTAGATTCAAAAACAGGACATTTCCAGACATGAGAATAATTGTAGTGCTGTGGCCGAGGTCTGACCTGGTAGGATACGGATGCCAGTGCTGAATTGGAGGACCTGCCCGTCTCTGGTCCAGGTGATCTCAGGAGCAGGGTACGATTGGACGTCACAAAGCAATGACACCATGTGGCCCTCGATCACACTAACATCCTCCTCTTTAAGGCCAATTATTCTTGGAGGCTCTGAAAGAGATAAAACAGTTGTGTTGCACACTTATAGGGCAGAAAATAACGTCCATTATAAAATACCTGCGGGAAATGTAATATACAGGGTTAATGCTAAAGCTGAGTTATGGACGTTTCTTACCTTGCACTGTCAGACTGAAGAGCTTCTCAACTGTTCCAACCTTGTTCTCGGCTAGACACAAATACCCAGCCATGTCTGAGACCTGGACACTGAGGAGCTGAAAGATGGGATAGAAGTGTTATTCCTCAAAGGTCACAGCTGATTCTACTTACATGCTGGTGCTTGTCTAAAAGCCCACAATGACTCACCTGGAGTTTGGATCCATCCTCACTGATGTGGTGCTGAGAGTCAGCGTGCAGCGGCTGCCCGTCTCTCAGCCAGGAGATCACAGGAGCCGGGTGTCCCGTCACGTCGCAGTGGAGGACCACAGAGCTGTTCACCACCGCTCCCATCTCCTCCATGAACTCCTCTGATACCCCCATGATCACAGGAGGGACTGAGACAGAACACACAACAGACATCCCCTTTAAAAAAAACAAATTTTCCACATATTTTTCAATGTAGAGTTATTGTATGTGCATGTGTTGCTTACCAAGGATCTCCAGCTCAAAGTGCATGTGGTCCTCTCCGGCCTCATTAACAGCCAGACATGTATACTTTCCTTCATCTTCTTTCTGCACTCGAGTGATTTGTAGCACCTGTCCACCTAAAAAAGAACCAAAAAACACCATAAATATATGAAGCCCCAAACGTCCTACATAACCACACTACTGCTTTTTACAGAAATCACACAGGATTGAGTTCCCTCTGACCTGGCAGCAGTACCACTCCATCAGCAGAGGTGAGTTTCTGTCCATCTTTGTACCAGCTGAGCTTGGGAGGGGGGATGGCGTTACTCTCACAGGTCAGGCTGATCGTATGGCCCAGCACAACCTCCTTCTTCTCCACCATGTCCTCATTATCATCACCCTCGTGTCCCAGACCCCAGGCTGCTTCTCTGTTAGCCACCCGGTGGAAAATTGGGGGAACTGGCAAGACAAGAGCAGTTCTGGTCACTTTCTATCATTTATAATGCCAAAAGATCACCAACTAAAGTGTAGCTTGACCAATAGTGTGTGATAAGAAGCTGGCATTTGAATTTGAATTAAATACCACATATTTAACCGAACGCACCCTGAATGGTGATATGAAAGTCTCTCTTGTCTTCTCCTGCAGAATTGGTGACCACACAGGTGTATTGCCCCTCATGGGACAGCATGGCATTTTCTATTTGGAGGGTGTAGCCACTCTCCTTAATGCCAGCATGTAGGTTTCCAGTCAGCAACTAAACACAAATAAAATACATACAATGGTTAAGTCAAGTTGGAATATTTCCCCTAGCCATATGTGGAAACTCCATAAACGGGAACACCAGTGATTTCATAAATCATGATCTGTTTACAGGACTTTGGGAGTATGACCAAATACATTTCTTCTAGCATGTTTTGTGAGCCAAGTTTTGAAACATAATGCAGGGAATAAAGAGATAATTTATCAGTTTCTGCTGCATTAATATCTTTCAGTTAAGGTAGTGGGTTTCAAGGGTGAGATATAATACATACTGTACTACTGACTAGAAACACATTTGGCAGGTTCTTTAAATGCCTGGCTTTTAATCCACCATTTTTCAGCCTGTATTGAGTTTTACAAAACAGAAAAACGCCTCCACCCTCATTTGAAAAGCATCCATCTGAAATCCACCTAATCCTCTCTGCGTTTTGCTGCTCCCTGTTGGGGTCTCTTCAGAACATTGACAGAAGCCCACATGCATGCTAAACACTAGATATTTCACACACATACAGAAATCAAGCTTCACATTAAAATACTGAAGAACACACAAGGCACAGCAGTATTACAACAATGTTTTTACGTCAGGGTATCTAACACCTGGTTTCTTCTTCTACATCTTTGCTATAATTAACTAGCTTACTCATAGCACACAGACTGAGGAGTGGAGGTGGCTTGTGCAAGAGGATGTAAAATATGTAGAGGCTGTTGCAATGCCTACTTATTGCCAGTAGAGGCTGATAGAAGTCACATTTTAAGCACATGTTGGTGTTTTAAGAGATGCAGAGCTTGTAGGCATGACACCAACCTGTCCGTCTTTGAACCAGTTAACCTTGGGTTCAGGGAAACCTTTGGTCAGGCAGGATAGAATCAAACTCCCGTTGATCCGTACTTTCTCTTCCTGACGCCCAAACTTCAAGGATGTAGAGTCGCCTTCTATCTGTGGTGGGACTGATGACAGGTGGGGAAATCGTTAAGGTTTTCTCTTATCCTATTTAATGTGAAAGCGGCGTAGATGTCTCTTACCCAGAACACTGAGAGAGTAATGTTTAGTGGCGGTGCCGGCTGGATTTGTGGCCCTGCAGGTGTAGAGGCCGGTGCTGTCACCCCGAGCTGAGCCCAGCCGCAGCGCCTGCCCGCCCTGGGTGTAGGTCGCCTGGGGACTGGACACGATGGGCTGGTTGTCCTTCAGCCAGGTGATGCTGGGCGTGGGTGAGCCCTCGACATCACAGGGGAGGACTTTGGGGAAACCCAGCACTACTGACACCTCCGAGGTCTCACTGGGACCCTTGATGCGGGGGGGAGCTGGAGAGAAAGGTTAGCAAAATGTTATTGTTAACAGCTAGTAAGAGTTTTACTGGCCCATAGCCCAGCTAAATAGGTCCTCAGGGAATTGGCCTGTTGTAGGAGGAGACCCTTAAAACAGAAATGCAGTGTGTGATTCTTAAGGCAATTACACCACTGCTCTTTAGGTGACACAAAATCCCTGGAGCCCTGCATAAAGTGATTAGGTCTGAGCTAATAGACCAGGCCAAGTTGAGTCAATTCATACACCTGAATACGTTAGGTCAACATATTATTTAAATATTAAGTTCAGTAGTTTTCTTTTTCAAAACAACACTCCAACCACAGCACTTGTCATCAACTCAACTCATTCTCCTGGTAACTTTTGAACAATTGTATGTCTTCTTTGTTACATTTCTTTACAGTATTAGTTGAATTTCTGCTGGTGTGGTGTTGTGTGTATGTGTCTTAGATAAAGTAAAGACCTTGCACTGTGAGTCTGAACTGCCGCATCTGAGTCCCTGCGTTGTTACTGGCCAGACACTGGTAAAGCCCCTGGTCCCTCAGTCTGACCGACTTCACCTTCAACACTTGGCCATCTTCCAGAAACTCCACATGAGGGTCTCCATCGCGGGACAGAACCCTTGAGAGAAGAATGAATCATAATCAATGCCAAGGACGTGTTTTGCTGAATGTCACATCAACATATTGTTAGAAGCGATGCTTACTCTCCGTCGCGGCTCCATTCTACTCTCGGTGGTGGTTGTCCACTTACGCGACACTGAAACTCCACCTCCTGATCCAGAACCACAGTTAACTCCTGCAGCCTGGAAGTTCCTGAGATCACTGGCGGGGCTGTACACATACACCAGAAATAAATCGGTTATTACATGTTTTTAAGTTTGTATGAGACCTAAGGGAAAATCACTTCAATTTCAAAATCGCTGTAGAGAGATGTAGAACTCATCAAGGTAAAAGTTAATGAGGTCATTTGCATTGACTTTTACACTTAGTCTTTGAGGGTGTGGACGGAAATGAGAACTTTAAGGACTTATGCTACATTAAATGAAGAATGTAAGTTTAATTAAACAGCTTTATGTACTCTGGGGACTTTAGACAACTGCCCCGGGAGATGTTGAGTCCAGGAAAAATATCTCTTATAACCCTCTATATAATCTAGGGGACATCTTCACACCTGTCTTTCCCCAACTTTATTATTTGATATATACGAGCTGCCAGTGTAACAGCTGTTTTATGAGCTCACCTTGAACCACAATGTGATATTCCCTGCGGGCCTCCCCGGCTGAGTTTTGAGCTGTGCAGCAAAATCTTCCGGCATGCTCTGACTGAACTCTATAGATTCTCAGCAGCCGGTTCCCATTCTGCAGATACACCCCAGGACTGTCCACCTGGATACACAGAAATCAGTAAGTGCATCCTTAGTGGGAAATTGTAATAAGAAGCATGACCACTTGGTGGCATTGTACAGCTAGATATTAACAAAGTTGCCACCAAAGTTTTGCTTAAATTGTAAATGGGAATCCAGAGTGAAAGAACTCACAGAATGACCATCTTTAGTCCAGGTGATTGTTGGGGAGGGGATCCCGAAGGCATCGCAGCTCAGAGTGAGAGGCTGCTTCAAAGTGACAGTGAGGTTCAGAGGCTGCCCATCATCCTGGATCTCTGGGGGAACTGCAATAGCGCAAAAAATAAATAAAGGAAAGATTTGTATTAGGACTTATTATTTTAGGCCTACAATATATGCAGAAAATGTAGATGCATATTTAACTGGGCTTACATTAAAATGTAGGGTGGACAAAAGTGCCTTTTTATGATGAATACAATAATGTGTTAAAATGATATGTATCTAAAGCTACCTATTTTGCAATTATGGATAGCTGCCACAGTTTGATTGATCATAGGTAAGCTAGCTAATGTGATTGCACTGGTGTTCGAGGGTATCAGTAAAACTATTACAATTGTTACGAATTCAGTAGGTTTTGTTTTATTTTCACGAATACGCCTATTTATTTTTGTCTTATAATATATAGGATTTATGATCTTTGTTAAAGACCCATGGTTTAAGGTATTTTGTTCGAGTGAAAGGGGTCACTTATTCTCACCATTTACTTTCAGCCTTGTCTTTCTCTCCACAGAGCCTGCCTCATTGGTCGCCACACACTTGAAGTCCCCGCTGTGGCTGGCAGACGCTGTGCTAATTACAAGCGCTCCGTCCCTCGCCACAGAAAGCTCTGATTGTTCGGTGTGTATCTCCAGGCCGTTCTTGAACCAGCGCACCTTGGGATGAGGTGAACCTGCAGGTGCAGAGACAAGCACAGGATTGTAAGTGAGTATAAACTGAGCTTTATTGATCACAACTGACAGAAAGAAAAGCTACTTCCATTTATCTGCTTCTCTGCGGGGGGAACTTAATGGGCAAGCGGCCCAGACTAGAAAAAGGCAGCTCTACATTTATCTCTTGGACAGCGGGACAGCAGGGGAGGCATTGCCAAAATGGGACCTTGGGGCCTACAAGCTTATGATTTCAAGGTCACATAAAAAAGTAAGACACAGTAGACAAGTAAGACACTGTGTGCTAGAGAGATGTACGGTTTAAAACACAAGCATCAAGATTTATTACCTCACTGAGGTGAGAGTCCTGAGCAGTAAGAATAGGAGTGGTCGGACAGGCAGTTCAAAGGCACTGCTGTGTACGATCAGAAGCCTGAAACAGGTGTGTGCTCTGGATTACTGGGTGGGAAAGAGGTGGAAATTATCAAGAGGAGAAAGGTGGAATGGGGAAAAGGTGGGGGATTTTGAACCCAACACAACATACTCCCCGGGACAAGGACAGACCAGCAAGCCTCGATGAAAGAGCGTTGCGGTGGAGTGATCAAAATGGCACGGCTCTGGCTATTTACAGAGGTGTTACATATACAACCACCACAGCGGAGGAATCAAACACTGCGCCCTTCCTCAATCCAAAATAATACTAACGACGCAGCAACAGCAAAGGTGGTTTACAGCAAACACATGTTTACAGTTAAGCAGCTCTAAGAAAATTCATTATCTCACTGCTGAGCGGAAATGCAAACATATGTTCTATTTAAGATGTTAACAGATCTCATTAGTAGACTTTGAATTAACTTGCTAGGGCTGACGAATTTGGAGATCATGTCTTCCATGTGTTTCACCGATTATTACCTCCATCTAATGCGCTGCGTTTGTTGGTGAATTAATAATATCCTTCTGCCAGAGGATGTGCTTTATCTCCCTCACACAGAGAGATCTCAAGAGTACAGTGAGGGCGATACTTGTTTCCTGCTCCCGGCTCCTCTCATGGGTGTCAAGAGCGTCAAACATTTTAAGTGTGAGCCCTCGAAGGCCTGGTACATTTTGCCTGCCTGCTGGTAAGACTTGGATAAGAGGAGGGCTGGCGTAGCTTCATCTTCCTCTTCCTGTGCTTCACAGTGCACCTCAGACATCTCTGTCCTTCATCTGCAAGCAGGAGCCTGTAATTAGGATTCCTCTCCCAGCAGGCCCCGACGCAGAGGAAAGCAGATGTGGCTCACTGAGGAGCAGGCAGACTGATGTTCCAGCTGTTGCTCCACATTGGACACAGTCCTCACCTCCTCTCACCGTGCTGGTAACCATGACACAGCGCCACAGAAACAATAGCTGTCAGCGCGAGCTGTCTGAGGTTAAGTATCCATCAGTGCTTCCGCAGACTCGCACAGACGCTTGGTGTGTTGCGATAAACTCTCCACACCCCGCGGGATAATACCTTGTTCGCACAGAGTTCTTAAATTATAGAGACAACAGCAGGCCTCTGGGTGCTGTGATAAAAAGAGGATGCACCTTTTAAGATGGCAAGGATATTTTTTATGACAACTAAAAGTCTACGTTGACAGTGAAACATTCCTTTGATGGTGTAGAAATAAACACATCTGTCCTTTATTTAAAGTAGAATTTCCTCTAATATAAAACAAACTAAAACAAGGAACATCTATTTGAAGCTCTAAAACTTTAGTCACATTGTAACATCTCTTCTCTTTAGAACCTTAGACTTTGCTTCCCGTGTATTTTCAGTCAGGCTGACTCATTTGTGATTCATTTCATACCTTTAGCCGGGCAGGGGATGATGACCTTGCCGTTCGCTACTTTCTCCATGATGGCATCTCCTGGTTCTGCAAAGGACGGGGCCTCTGTGAGGACAGGAAAACATGTTAAGTGCCGGTTTAATGCACAGGGAGTCTAATAAAGTTTAGCTTGAATCCAATGTGTAATGACTGAGTTTTAGTTTGATTATTATTGAAGGTGCCAGTGTAGGTAAATGTGATAAGACGCCTTTGGGGCATTCCATAAACTGTTGTGGGCAAAAGATTTGATCTCACAGGAACTCTCTGGCCAATTGAGTGGCAAACAGAACAAATAAAAGCAATTACAAGAGTCATTGAAAACCCATCAGATGATAAAGCTTTTAGATCTCCACGGGTAATAAAAGAAATCCAATTTGAGTGCAGTTTTCAGTTCATTCCATTTCAAAAGGTGCATACCCGCAGTGCCAGAGTTAGTACGTAGTAAGTACACATGTTCTTGGTGTTACATGCATTTTCCAGTATTAATATAAAATATTACTGTAAAATACATCAAAAGCTAAGTGAAGATGAGAAGGAGCCTGAGCTGGAGTGGAAGTAGGGCTTAGGATATATTGTTTGGTGTTGAAGTATAAATTAGGAAGAATAATTCATAAATGTGTGCTGTAAATATTAATGGAGTAAAAGACCCCTGCTGCTCCCCATTACTGATGACAGGAAGGCCTGATTCAGCCTTCACAAGTTAATAGACCCTGCTCTGAAAATGTGCACCATCATCACAATATTTAAACACTATTACATATCCCCCTCCTTAAAAGGGACGGTTTTCTCACTGTGCCTTAAAGAGTAGCTATTTGGACAACAAACACTTCAATTGTCCCACATAGTGGCTATACGACCATTTTGTTTTCAAGTACACCCTGGGGCCTTATTGTCTTGCATCATGGAACTATTTTGCGTTAGAGAATGCACCTCTAAAGACAAGGAGAGCCTGTAAATGGGACACTGTTGGATGGATACAATTTTTTATCGCCAGTGCTTGGAAATGGTTATTATCTGAGACTGGCAAATCCATATAGTAGTTTGAGGTGTTGTGACAAAAAAGTCCCCCCCATCCTGTGATTTTTGTTTAAAAGAACGTGTGGATGCATGTGCCTATGTGGTTGTATTTGCTCTCCTTTTGATAGGCTTTATATGAATCACATTATGCGGTATATACTGCAGCTTATTTTTGCGTATTATCAATATAAAGAAACAAGGTTTTGAAAATCTGAACCGTAGATAGATATTCACCAAGAACTTCCAGTTTGATCTCCAAGATCTCCTGTCCAGCGCTGTTCTTGGCCACACACTGGTAAGTGCCCTGATCAGCCAGGCTGACCTTCTCGATCCTGAGAGGCGTAGTGTTCTTGACCCCAACAGGAAGTCCATTGTGTGACCAACTGACCTCGGGGCGTGGCTCTCCCTGGACCACACATGGCAGAATGACTCTCTGGCCGAGCAGGGCTTTCAGGAGGGAAGGTGCTGGCTGAATTCTGGGCTTAGCTGGGGACAAAAACAAACATCGTAAATGAATGTCTCTCCACGTCCGTTACACACCTATTTATTTACACATCTCACATACTTGACATATGTTAGAAGTGACATGTTGACATGGAATCTATCAACTTCTCAGAATTTTGAAAACACAAGTTTTATGGGTTCTAAGAAGTTGTAATGGAGTGGTGTCGACTTACATTGAATGTGTAAATTGTAGCTCAGGGACACGTTGCCTGCTGGGTTTTCTGCAGTGCAGGTGTAAAGTTTACTATCAATCAGGCGCAAATCAGTGATCCTCAGAGAGCCTGAAGGCAAAACAGTGAACCTGGGAAGTGGTTAGGGGTCAAGGGCAAAGGGATGGAGAAAACACAACACTTAATAAGTCAGTGAAGATCTACAGCCGCTGTGTTTTGGGAGAAGAGGTATTCTCGTTTTCCTTGAAGCAATATTTTCTACAAGTAACACATTGTGGAGCAGGCAAAGATCTGAATAAAGTACATTCATTACCTGCCTTTATAGTATTGGTAAATATTAATAAGGTGGGAGGACAATTTCAAAATGAATGTAGTTTTGCCTTTGGTGCTACAGTATTTTAAATAAAAGATGTGGTAATAAAAAATGAGTTCCTGTAAAAAGAGACTGTGAATTCCCACTACCTGAAGCACATTGATAAGAGTGATTCATTAAAGGTGACCTATCATGCAAAATGCACTTTTGTACGTCTTTTATACATGAATATGTGTCCCCGGTGTTACAGGGAACTCACCAAGTGTCAGAAAACACAACCCTCTCTATTTCCCTCCATACCCAAATCTCTTAAAAAGGGGCTGCAACGAATCTGATACAGACTGATCCAGATTTGAACACTTCTGTGACGTCACAGAAGTGGCGCTACGGCTATTGGGCCAAATCCACCAATCAGGAGGAGACAGCCACGGACATTGCCGTTTGAAAGCGCTGGAGACGCTGTAGTACATATGCCAGGCCTGTAGATGGTGCTGTTCTCACATGCTGTTCTCACAGAATCAGCCCATGCAAAGACAGTGTTAAATTGAGCAAAATGAGGAATGGCTAAAATGCATGATCTGTTTGGTATTTTGAAAAATAAAAAGTATAAATATGCCTTATATAGGTATGGTCCTACACTATATTATTCAAATATAGCATGATAGGTCCGCTTTAATATGCAAATGTATTACATAATATGACCATTTTAAGCAATGTGTTCAAGTTATGTAGCATTACACTACATTGTCCATTATAATGTATTTTCTTGACTTTAAAGGTGATGTTGAGTTTTGAATACAAAACATTGCATGAAGGAGAGTAAAAGCAATAAGAAAAAACATTTTAAAGCAGTTAATGGCTTCTTTGCATTTACGTTGTTTGTCGAAAAGAAAAATGGATCTAATAATAAATGAAAGTGCTGAACAAGAAAGCACTAAGTGGAGTCTCAGCCAGGGCTTAGTGATCTCCCTAGTGAGTTGTTAATTTCACGATTTCCATTATCCAGGGTAATTACAGTGTAAAAGGGTAGACATGTTTTCACCTGGTGACGTCGCCATGGAAAAAATGATTGTATTTCTTCCTGTTGGGAACATTGTTGTTTCCAGTAGCTATTGTGTGTTTATCACTAAGATGTGTGGAAATACAGATAATCAAAAACTACAGTCGTGCTACTGATAAGACACGCACACATGTTTCCTGAGAACAACCATATGAGCAAAAGTTTACGCAAAACCATCCCATTCATTTTACAGATGTTTGACACAGACGAACAAGTGGACAGATGGATATGATAACATGCCCTGCCCTCCACTTTAAAAAAATACTTTGTAGCAAAAACAAAAGCAGCGGTTAGATGCGGGTTTAAAGTGCTTAAATGTAGGTCAGCGACTAAAGGAGTGTGGCAACCTGAATTGCACCAGAAGCTACCCAGCTGTATAAATGTATAATGTGTACAAATGTAAACACACCTCTGTGATTTATCTTAGATAAGTGTGTCTGCTAAGCTACTGAATTATAACACAAACATGTTCATGTAAGTGGAAATGAGCTTGAAGCACAAAGAGCTCTCTATTTCAGCTGCACATATGGTGTAATGTGGCTCCCCCACCTCCTCACTCAGCCTGAGGAGAGGCAGCAACATCTAACGTTGGAACCAAATGACTGCTTCTCTGTGGTTGCTGCAGCTCCATAATGCCGGATTGAAGGCTGATACAAGCTCAAGCTCAAAAGGCATGAACCCCCCCCCTCTCACCCATCCATCACTCCCCACACTAGTGTCAAGTCATCTGTGTACATAGTCTGACACAGAGACTAACTGGGACAAAGTGGCTTCTTGAGGATTAGACTCACACTGACTCAGTGTCAAATAGATCTGTGTGTTGACCCACAGCACCCTCCTTCTGTCCTTCTGTTACTTTTTCCTCAACACTGCGCAATGTGCACATATATTAAACTCACACTCCACCTTATTGCATTTACATTTGAAGTAAAATGACTACAACTACTGCACACATTGTAAAATGTATAATCATATGTTAATATCAGAATCAGAATCAGAAACAGGTTTATTACCAGGTAGGTTGACACGTACTGTACTAGGAATTTGACTTGGTGTCGTGGTGCACACATAAAAGTTAAAGTAAAACAAAAATAAAAAACACAGATAGAGATATTGTAGCAGTAGTAGTTTGGTTCATACTATTATACATTATAGTGTATTCTTACCTATTTTTATGTTATACTTTGTATTCTATAGATTTTCTAGGGTCATATGTTTGTACTGTTAATATGTTGATTTCTCAGTTTATTTTGTATTTATATTTGTTTTCAGCTCATGAGCAATGTGTTTATCTATCTATATATCTATATATATCCATCTATCTAATATCTATCTGTCTGTCTGTCTGTCTATCTACTGTATATCTATCTATCTATCTATCTATATAATATCTATCTATATATCTATCTGTCTGTCTAACTATCTATCTGTCTATCTATCTATCTATCTATCTAATATATAACTATCTTTCTATCTATCTAATATATATATATATAGGTGGGGTGCTTCGCGTCGGGCCGAACCACGCCCCTTAGCTGTGATATAATGAGCATATACCACGGCCTGTCGTGAGCTATTGCTTAAATATACTGTATCTATCTATCTATCTATCTATCTATCTATCTATCGTCTGTCTATCTATCTAATATATATCTATCTTTCTATCTATCTAATATATATATATATATATATATATATACTGTATCTATCTATCTGTCTGTCTGTCTATCTATATATATATATATATATCTATCTAATATCTATCTATCTTTCTATCTATCTGTCTGTCTGTCTGTCTATCTATCTATCTATCTATCTATCTATCTAATATATATCTATCTATCTATCTAATATCTATCTATCTTTCTATCTATCTGTCTGTCTGTCTGTCTGTCTGTCTGTCTGTCTGTCTGTCCATCTGTCCATCTATCTATCTATCTATCTATCTATCTATCTATCTATCTATCTATCTATCTATCTATCTATCTAACAGCCTGTTATATGGCTATGTCAGAAAGTTTTCCGCAACTGATTTAAGTTTTTCCAACAATCTGCCCCCTGGACATTTCCTCTGACCCCACAGAGTGTATGTGGAGGGAATTAATCTCCCTCTTTCACAGCATGCCTGTTTCCGCAGGTCCTGCATATGCAAAGCACGTGCGTGGGGGTTCTTCACAGCGGTGTGTTATTCTCATCAGACAAGACCAGTAAAGGGTCAGCATGTTGTTTTACTGCCGAAGCACCCCAGGGAATCCGAACATCAGGCAGACAGGGCTTGTATCTCTTCCTGTGTCAGTTCGTTTTCCTCCCCTCTTCCTGGCACTCCCCACTCCACCCCCACCTATTCCTTCTCCCTGGCCCCACACAAGTCTTACTGTAACTGACTCACCGCAGCTTTCAACCCACTCTCTGTCATTCTTCTATCTATCCCAAAAACCAGTCGGTGTGGTGTCTGGCACAGGGAGTCTGTCTGTCATCTCTCTAGTCTGTTTCCCCCAGTCAACCAGCCTGTCTGCACCCAGGGTGACCACACATGAGAGCCGGGAGTCAGCGGACCATGTGGGACCAGATGTTCCTCCTCAGCAGATGAGTGAATGCTCAACACAGCCCTCTGTGCAGTCTCTTCCAAAAGTTATCATTAAATACAAAACATTAGCTGCAGCTTTGAATGGCTTTAAAGGCTGAGTCAGATGTTAGGTCAGAGGTAAGGTATGGTGACAAGCTGTGTTACGTGATGTTTCACTAATTTCACAGCATCATTCCCAGAGTGAGGTAACACTTCCTCTTACCCAGCTGTGACGGGGGGGATGGGATGCCCATTTCTGCTCCATGTGACGAGTGGAGAGGGGCTACCCTGGGCTGCACAGGGGAGAACCACCTCTGCCCCCACCTCTGCAGCCATCTTCACAAGGTCGTCATGGCCACTTACACCCACTATTTTAGGCATGGCTGGAAAAGAGAGAAAAAGTTGTCAGAATACCAAAAGGAAAACAATTCTCACACAAGGATCGGGTGTTACAGGGCTTTTTTTGGGATATTGAATAAGATTGTGGAAGTTGTGGTGAATTAAAAATTGTGAATATCCTGATGAGTGACTTGAAAAAACATGTTTACCTCACTATCGTGACAAGTGAAATATTGAGTCTGATTTATTTTAAAAAGTTATTCTTTTATTAGCATAAGGGAACTAATGATGCATAGTTACCTTTTTTAAGATGATCTGTTTTTCACTAAAAAGGATGTTCACTGAAAAAATCGGTATCCTATCTTTTTGGAATTTTTTTTACGTTTATAGAGATAATATTGTGAACCACATTTATTTGGCCAAGATAATATTGAGGAAATGTTCATACTGCCCCATGTCTACAGGAAAACATCATGCAGTCTAGACAGAGAAGGCCCTTTGTTATACTGCTGTGTTTTGGTGACTGTGGTAGGACATGTGTTTGCCTTACAGTTGACACTGAGCTGGATCTCTCGGCTAGCGTAGCCCACGGGACTAGTGGCGGTGCAGATGTAGATGCCTGCGTCCTCAGCGCTGGGGTGGAGGATTTGGAGGTATCCATCAGGGTCCGACTGAAGAGAGGAGCGGCCCCTTGGCAGAGACTGCCGGCCCTGGAGAAACAGCAGGCATAAGACCAGACAGAATATACTGCAGATAAAAGCTGTCCTCACAACAGCGCAGGGACACAGAGCTCACTTTAAGGTTTACAGACAAACCTTTGATGCCTAATGTAATTACAGAGCACCCCTTTAACTCACCCTCTATCCCTAATACACACATACAAGAACGCAGCCTGCTGCACACGCTCTTGCTTTGAACATGAAATTGCTTTTACAGATTCACTTTTATCTGACAAGAAGAGAAATTTACTCCACTCTAGAGCCCTCCTCTGAAGATATTTTGGAGAGAGCTAGGTACAAAAATCAGGTTCAGTTCAACAACATGCATGTTGACCTCAGTAAAACTGTAGGCTAATGGTGTTTTATGTTTACTCTTGCACGCTTTCTGTCTTTTATGTGTTGCTTTATGGGACATCACGGGTCTTAATGTTTGCGGTCATCTGTCTGTTATGGACCATTTAGTATAAAATGTGGTTGGAATATACCACTGATGGAACATTTTGGAGAAACCAGCTCGAGTGCGCTAGAATTTGAAAATACACAGCCGGAAAAAATCTGCCACTTCCTTACAGAGCCCCTCCTCCAACACACGTACATGAACACATGAACGCGCACATGACCAATGAGGGCACGAGATAAGTTTGTGCACAGATGGAAGGCTGACAGCGCTATATTATGTTTGTTGATACTGTATGATTTTCAAAAACGAAAAAACCTACCGATTATTAGGTAAGAGTTTGCATGCAAAGGTGTATGGCAGATAGTCTCACTGTTCTGATTGCAAAAAAAAACCTTTTTAAACTCAGATTTTTTGACATTTTCCCTAAAATTAGATGTTGTTTTTGAGATCTCAATCCATATCGCTTTGTTTACAGAATCACAATATATTAAATCATAACCCTGCTTCATGATCTTGGTCTTTTTCCAAAACACAGCACTAGTAGAAATGCTCTAAGATGTGCCTCGGAGTCGGTGAGCATAATGTTAGTCAGTCACAGGCAACAGAGCGGTGGTGTCGTCTGTATGACACATGTAGCGATAATGTTTTATGATCAGGTTCACTCTTTGGCATTCTGGGTAAGCATGTGGGCTCTGCAACGATACGCCTGGTTGCATATAACCTTTGAGGTTTTCTACTCATAATACGATTCTTTTTTTAACCGACTGCTGGAGGAAAGGTTTTAAATAGATTCCTGTGGTATAATAAAATCCTGAGTTATTTTTCACAGTCAAGGAGCAATATGGTAAAGTTGCCATGGTTACATCCTCCCTGGTCAGGTTAATGACATCTTGATTGCAATGCAAACTGTTATTGTTGATGGCATATTCAGAGTGTTTCCACAAATCAGAGAAAAATAACCCCTTAGGTAGATACTGTGTTGAAATATTATTATGCCAATTATAAATAACTCATTAGAGCCTAAACATGGTTTAAATTCAAGTAGTTCATCTAAAGAGAAAGCATTATATCATAAGGATATGACTGTGATTGTTACCACTATCATTGTTCTAGTGCTGATTACATTAATAACCTACTGATGACTTTAGCTCAACACTTTTAAAAAATGAAAATCCCATCACCGTTGCAAAACTGGATATTGATGTTATGTTTGATTGTTACATGATTGATATAGCTATTACTTTAAACATTATTTATTAATGATGATTCATTTTAAGACGACCTAATGCCAAGTTTTCTTCTCACTAGATAATGTTTTGGGAATAAGAAGTAGCCAATTAGTCATTCATCGGTTTATGGGATGCAGACAAATTGATCATTAAGAAAAGCAGATCTTGACAGTGAGTGTGACATCATACCTTGGACCAGACAATATTTGGCTTGGGAAATCCACTGGCCTCGCATGATAGTGTGATGGCGACGCCCTCGTTGGCTATGTAGTGGTATGGACCAGCGTTAATTTCAGGGGGAACTGTGGAAGAAGTAGGTCACAAAACACAGCTGTCTCACTAGCCGGGAAGAATCGGGTCCTTGGCATTATCACTGGCCTTTGCCAACCAGCAGTGTCAGCACTCGAGGCATTTCTTCATTACAGGCCGATGATGAACAGTAATCTGGCCTGTCTGTCATGATGCGCCTATGAACAAAATTACCCTTTCATCATAGCATGCAATACATGAACCCTCTCACTATGAGGACAGCAGGTGGTAAAGTCAGCTACATTATGTTGTTTTCCACGCTGAGTCAGCACATTGTAGGTGCGCCACATTTGGGGCTGCGTCCATGCCTGCCAGTGTCTCTAGCATTGAGAAACTTGTACAGGAATGGGCATTTAGATCATAGATAATAAAAGCAGAGGACCTGCTTAGGTCTGAAGCCAAAAACAAGACTACAAATCTACAGCTAGCAGCTCTGTTTAGCTTTATTGAGGCAAATCAGTGCCTTTTAGCTAGATGTTAACCAATGCTCCAGCATGCTGTCATCACAATCTGAATGTTTTTAGCAAGGATAACGGTTACGTTGCTAACCATTTTGGTTAAGCGTGTTAGCGTGCTTATATTTACTAATAAGCAATGGAACAAAGTAGGAGTTGAGTCTAATTGTATTAGATTTGGGTAAATTATCATATTTGATTGACATTTCAAATCCAACTAATAGAAGCTTTAAATCTGACTAATATACTCATGCCTCATTTGTTCAATGGGTATGCAAACTTAAATCTAAAAACAACCATTTGTGGTTTCACTGGGGGTTATGTACTGGAACTATTTCTTGGCAGGTCTTTTACTTCCTGTAGTTACCTTTGAACAGAGCCTGGGCAGCCATATCTCTCCGCCTCCAGTCTTACAGATAAGCTAATGATCTGCTGGCTCCAACTTTAATCTTGGGTAAGGTATTGATCTAATCTAAATCTTGGCAAGAAAGCCAATTCAAAATGCATAGCAATTTCTTTAATGTGGGCTCTTACTCTGGACCTCCAGACTGACTGTGATGTTCATGGACCCTGCTACATTCACCGCAGTGCAGACATATGTCCCAGCATCCTCTGGGGCAGCTCTTTCAATGTACAAACTGCCATCACTCCTCAGAAACATTTGCCCAGTCAGTTGAACCTGTGCACGGGAAAAATTACTACAGTCACACAGAAACAGATTGTCTTCATGAATTTTAGCCTATTTGAAAGAAGTCTGTCTTACAGGTTTGCCATTGTGGGACCAGTGTCTTTCTGGAAGAGGTATTCCATCCAACAGCATGCAAGGAATACTCAGGGATTGGCCGATGCCGGTCGTGATGATAGGAGCACCGTGTGCCAAGAGAGGGGGCTCTGCAGAAGAAAGAAGTGTATGGTCAAAAATACTTTGGAAGGAAACTGGCAAAGTATTTTAAGGCCACAATCAGTTATGCTGTTGCTACCATTGTCTATTGTGCCATTATGGCAGTGCTGATAGATAAGAGGGCTTAGATAATCGAGTTGGTAGCTTACCCAGTCCAGTGACGCCAACTCTGGCCTCAGTTGTAATGGTTCCAAACTGATTCTTGGCCTCGCAGATGTACAACCCTTCATCATCCAGCCAGACGCCTGTAGTTGAGCACACAGTAAAGCAGCGCTGAGCAAACTTAAATCAATATATTGAGAAACACAGCACAATCTACATATCAGAGATAAGCAGCATCTCTAAACCTGCTGAGAGAAAATTATGTATCTATACAAAATAAGTCTATGTTAATAGCAGTTAAGTCCTCTAGTCAATAACAAGTGGTATTATCGGTCCGACTGTGATGTAATTAGGAGTTTAAAAATAGAAAATAACGGGATTAATGGGTTTGCCTCAGCTGCCAGACTGCTGACACAAATTGCATTCAGTAAAATTCTCTGGAGATCACATGTTGGAACATCAACGTGATTCATTTCTTGTGTTTGACTTTGGATAGTCAGATGTTTAAACAGGAAATGACAAGACATTTAGTATTAAAGTAAAAAGTGAGGAGAAGAATGGTAATGTACGGTGAAGGCAGGTAAAAACAAGCCATCTGCAAGAGATTGAGATAGAAGGTCAGATGGCACCCACAAATGGAAACAGTGACAGAAGCAGGACATGCTTCTCTCCAAAGTAATACTATGCACGCTGTAAACATTTAGTCTTAGGATTACAAAGGATCACCTTCAGTGGCCAAGATTAGTCATATTGCAAGCTAAAACGCCTCCAGGGATCACAAGTTAAATGTGCCCTAGCCCTGAAGGCAAGACATTCTCACAACGAAGGAGACATACTTGGACAAGAGGACAGCTTCTCTTTAATAACAGTGTTAAAGTGGTGGGGCACCTTTTAAGGTAAAATCTTTCACAGACCAGAAGAAGCACATTTTAGTAGGATGGATAAGTACTGTTTTTAAAGCCATACTGTAACTTTACCGATGGCAATTAAATCCTGTCGCCTTCCTCTCTAGAGAAAAGCTGGATTTAATATGAAATGCTGGACCTCTTCTATATATAATCACACAGTCATGCCAGTCAGTGTAGGGCCACCATGATGCTGCACTGTAGACCAAAGCTCTTTGCTGCGAAAGTGTTTCATGAGTAACTCACTCTGGATTAGAAGATGTCCGTTCTCCAGCTGCACGGGTCTACTGTTGCTGTCTGGCCTTGTGAGAATCTGTCTGCCGTCCTCTCTGCGCCAGGTCACCGATGGCTGCGGGGACCCTCGGACAGTGCAGGGGAGGGTGATGTTCTCCCCTACGCTAGCTGTCACATCAATTGGTGCCTCAGAGAACAATGGGCCCACTGTGGTGGAGGGAATGGTGATTTTTACTTTGTATACATTTTTTGGAGAAAAATAAGCTTTATGCAGGAAAGTGTGAACTCACCTCCGACCTCCAGAATGACTGTGCCAGCGGTGGTGCCGGCAGAGCTGCTAGCCACACAGCTGTACTGACCCGCGTCGACCTCCTGCACCCCTCGAATATGAAGGGTGCCACGGTGTACATCCTGCTCAACAAAAAGCGCAGAGCCCACCTCGAGCTCACCTGGAAAGACACAGAAAAACAAGCCCATTCGTCTCTTACTTGACATTTTCTCAGGTGTTTAATGCGAACACTGTTTTTGACCTTAACTTACCTTTGAACCAGTGGACCAGAGGAGGGGGGACGCCTGTTGCCTGACACTCCAGAGTCGCATCGCCTCCGACAGATACAAGCACAACCTGCTGTGTTACTGTTATTCTAGGCACCTCTGGAGGAAAGACAAGAAAGATGAAGCTTTTTTAATTTATAGAATTTTACCTGATTGGAAAATAATATCGAAGCAATTTAGTGTGAAGAAAAATGCTGGCCTGAATAAGTAAAGGCTGCTGTAACTGACCTGAGGTAAATATAAAAACCAAGCTCACATTTCGCACAATTTATTTGCCAACAGAGCAAGATACATGTTTTTGGAAAAAGTCAGACAGCCGAGCTGAAGAATGAAATGATCTGTCTCACAAATCTCTTGCTGCCTTAACAGATCAATGTTGTTAAAAATGTGAATGTATGTATGTGAAGGTAAGTGTGTATAACACCAGCACGCCCTAGGAAGAGGCTGCCATAGTCTATCAGGGTTGAGGTTTCTGTCAACTACTAACTGACAGGCCACGGCTGAAACTTCAGGCATTCAACTGTCAGTGCTCAGAAAACAAGAAGAGAAATATGCTACTGTGTGAGACAGAGCAGCATGTGGCCACATCGCTCGTGCTCAACTGGTATTTCACTCACAGATTTATTCAAAACAAATGCTGTTGAAGAGAAGATGCAACAGAGATAAAGAAAACATTTACTTATGTGAAGTCTGAAAAATAATGTTATCAGAAATTATTATTCAGAACAGAAACAAAAAATGAGGAAAAATTGTAAAAAGATAAATTCCAGCAACAGCATGACTTCACATTGGCACCCTTAACATTGGAAGCGATATCTTGACTTGCCTGCAAAAGTAAGAGACACAGTCTGAGAGGCAGTCCCAGCCTCATTGGTTGCTAAACATGTGTAGTTCCCAGCATCCTCTGGGAGGGCCCCTCTGATGCTCAGGACTCCATGTTTGGTTAGGCTCAACCTGTATCACACAATCCACAGAAGACATGTTTGTTGACTCTTCATGATTACATGTGCAGATGTAAAACTGCAATTCATCTCTAACCCTTCCTGCTATTCTTGGATATCATGAGAGATTTTTTTCTTTGAATAAGTATTTCACACAGGCATATAAAGTTGTGGTTTGGAAAAATATTTCACATAAGAACCGAAAGTTAAGCTACACGATGTGGCAATCAGGCATGTAGTTTAAGTGGAATGTAATGACTCCGAACCCTGTGTGCCGGAGGTGTTGAGTGGGCTGAGAGTTCCCTTACCTCGGCCGATTAGTAAGAAACATGTTTCCATGGCTCCAGAAGAGCTGGGGAGGGGGGGAGCCGGACGCCGCGCAGACGAGGCGGATCTCGTCCCCTTGGGAGAAAGCCCGGCCCTCGGGGTGAACTTCCACAGAAGGAGCCTCTACGAATGGAGTCAAACAGAGTCAAAATGCTGACAGTGAGTCATGGCCTTCACCGCGGCATGAGGTCATTCACAACTTCCCGATGGCAAGTTTCACAACAGTAAACTCCTGATGGTGGGCTTCAATTCAATTACCAGCACTTAACCATGTCTGACATCATTGTTACACAAGTTTCACATTAACTCGTTATTTTTGAATCCATTACAAACATCTGTACGAATGCCAACTCTTTTCAACATGCATCAATTCTGGCTGATGAGGAACATTTTCTGACGAGAAAGTGGCTCAATCTGACTGCGAGGAGGCTAAGCCTATAATGGAAAACAGATGACGGGGCCTCAGGAACCAAGAGGCCCCCAGTGTGTTAAGTGTTTAAGCAGATGACCTGCAGGGTATCGTTCCTGCCGTACCTGGGACATGAAGCCATGCCGTGATTTTTTTCTCTCCATGAGCGTTGGTGGCCACACAGTGATACTCCCCAGCATCCTGAGTCCGCACCCCGCTGATCTGCAGGGACGAGTCGGACAGCAGCCTAACCCTCCCTACGCGGGCTCGGATGGCATGACCCGCTCTGTACCAGGTCAAGTTGTGGCGCATGGATCCTTCCACCTGGCAGGACAGCACAGCCACGCCTCCCACAGAGGAAGTAACATTTACTGCCGACTTGAGGACGGGAGGAGGATCTGTTTTAGTGGAAACACAGTCAAAACATCAAACAAACAGAGCGAAAATAGTTTACTCTTTCAAAGAGATGTTTGTACTGGCATGCTTTGTATCATGTTGATGTTTATGCCATAAGTCTAAGATAACAAATGGCTGGAACTAATTTCAAAGCTTTGCTGTGACTGTGATGCATGCAGGCAAGACGACTGAGGATGTGTGTGTTGTTGCTTGTGTGTGTGTCATACCTCGAACGGTCAACTGTGTTAAGGCCCGTCCCTGTCCTGCGCTGCTCTGCGCTATGCACTCATACAGGCCTTCATCCTCAGCAGATGCATGGCCGATCTCCCAAGATGCAATGGCAGAATTCCTGACACAAAGAAATGCTTGGTTTGATAAATGGAGAATGACAATAGCAGCATGAGCCCATTTTACACATTCAATTAGTCTATCTGGCACACACACACTGGGAATAGTTTTCACCACAAGTCAGCCTCTCTTCATGAATTTAACTCAAAGCAGAGGGTGTATGAGAATAGACGCTTTGTTAATTTTTCAAGATGACACAATCGAATATGTAATGTTTACAAAACTGATGAAAGATTTCCTGCAAATAATAATAACAGCCAATTAGCACTAATGCTTAACAGACATGCCCTCCGGTTAGAGTAGTGAGTGACCTAATTACACTTTTTTTGCAGCAGGTAATGGGCAAATTAAGCTTTAGCATCTGAATCAGGAAAGAAAGTCAAATGTTACAGAGCGCTGATCGAGACTCACTGAAAGAACTTCTCGTCGCCCAGTGTGATCCCACTTCTGGTGAATCGCAGCCTGTAGGGAACGTCACTCTCCACCGAACATCCAATCACAACAGGCTGCATGTAGAAGCCCTTCACCACGTCAGGCATGCTCACTGCTGGGGGATCTACAGAAGGGAGGAAACCAGGATTAAATGTCACCAGAGAGATTGATGAGGTGTGAGAGACACTGGAGTGGCTTTGGTGAGATGTTTCTTCAGGGAAGGGGTTGTCTTGCCTGGAACAATGTTGGTGTAGGAGACACTGGACAGCCTCTGGAAGCGGTAGCCCTCTTCATCTATGCCCGTCCCCTTGAGGAAGAAGCTCTGGGAGGGGGTGCGGAACTCCGGGAGGCGCCATAGTCCTTGTTGACCGAGGTCGGAGGGCAGAGGCACGGGGATGGTGCGTAAGGAGCGGCCTGAGCCTGACACCAGCTCCACATGGTTGAGTTGACCTGGAGGCTTCAGGCCTGTACACTTCAGCAAAACATGGGCTGGAAGTCCTGGGAGACAAAGAAAGGTCGTCATGAAGTCATCTCCTGCAAGTGTTCTCAGTCAAATAAAACTCAAGCAGCTAACAGAAACATATCCGACACCTTTTATTGGCCTCTCTCTGGTTTGGTTGAACTCTGAAACGGGTACACTGGAAAAGCCGGCCCTGAAGTCTAGATTGCTGACCCCTGTGACCCTCAGAGTATGGCGCCCACTGCAGCTCACCTTTTTAGGAAATAAATGTTATTCAATTAGCCAAATGTCATAAAGAAATCAGAGTAAACATATTCATAGAGGATTCAGAAGTACCTTCAGTTTCCACGCCCCAGGTCTGGGAAATTTCAGGTTGACTACCCGAGCGGAGTTAGGGATGTTCAGCAGCTCTTTCAGGCCCTGTGCTTCACCAACTACTCGACCTAGAACACGAAAACAGCAACTTTTCAAAGTCCTACCTTGTTTTGGGTGCAATGAGAATAAAGTTTATTAAGATGGCAGGAAAGAAAATGAACATGTGGTCTACCATAGGGATCTCTGAGTTCGATCTGTGGTGCTGGTCCACTGAGTGACACGGTGACCTCGCGAAGACTGGGGTCAAAGGGCACTTCCCACTTGTTCTCCTGCGCACTGTCATGGTTGGACGACAGCAGGTGGACCTTCATGGAATGAACTGTCTCCTCTACCCACTTTAAAACCTGGCAGGAGGAAAAAACAGAGACAGCATGTCATGATGGAGGAAAGACATTGGTTGGTGGATGAGCCTGGGATCCGTCAAACTGTCATGAATCCCCTCTCAACATACAGACAGGATGAAGACAGGAAGGACACGATTGTAGACCCCCCCCCCTTCCACCAATCCCTTCCCTGCTCTTTGTCTTCGGACAATTTTTCATCACAAAAGTATTCCTCATAGGGATTTTTTTCCTAAACAAAGGGAAAGTGAAACAGCTCAACTGTCAGACTGATAACATGCAGTTTTCTGCACTCTCAAGCATGTATTCCCAGAGGAGCGTCTGTCAGGCAGCAGCCCCCCTCCCGCAGCACAGCTCTCATGAATCACGAGGCTTGTTCTGCAAAATAGAAAGCAGTGGTGCCTTTGTTGTAGAAATACACTCAAACTATATATTCTAGAGTATCAGCTTTACTAATGTGCAGGTTCATTATGGACAGAAACATCTGGCTGTTTCTCATCTTTCTGTTGAATCAGTTAAGCTAAGGGAGCAGGATGAGGTCAGACAGACACACATTAGGATTGCCGAAGGCTATCTCTTTAAATTAGTCATTATAGCACTCAGGGCAAAGATTGTCCAAAGTCTAAAATAATGGTGGACAGTTTGATTATATTTAAGTGCAAAACAATCATATGATACAGACTATAATGGCCCTCAGAGAGGCTTTCCAGAGAATTATCTGACATTATAGAATAGCAGTTTTGACAGCTGCTTGACCTTCTAGCTGTTATCATTATCATGAGTAAGAATACAGTTTCCCTTTCCCGTAGCAGAAAAACCCCACAGATATCTCCCTGTCTTATTTCAGTGGCCACAATGGACCAAATGTCTTTCATCTTCCAACTACTTAGCAAGCAACTGCTGTCTAGTATTTGTGTTGACCTCATATGAAGAGGTATTATGGCTGAGCTGCGTCTGTAATGCAACCGACTGAAAACATTTCTTCAGCGGGCCCTTGGAGACGGACCCAACAGAAACACATTTTACTGTAGACGTTTATAAAAAAACAAGCAAAAACTGAAACAAAGAAAGCCTTTGATAATTTAATCAGGCCTCCGCTTTGTCTATCGGGTCCACTGGGTGCTGACAGCAGCTGGTTCCTCTCGCCGTCTTACAACTAGAAACAGCTGTAACGTCTGCCACATGTGCAGCCATCACCAGCAGAGCAGGAAGCTGTGAAGAAGTGACCTACATCTGCCCCAGGATACTGTCTATTTCTTATGCAAGAGAGCAGAGAGGAGTGGGCATTACTCAGTCCTAACACAAAGGCAATTGGAGTGCAGAGATGGGACCACTCTCTTTCCGGGCCCGTGGTAGGTCTGCAGGAGCACGCTGAGTTCTGCTGCCACTCCTTGTCTCAACCACTGGGAATGCAGAGGATCTTAAGTCCTGTGAAACCTCATCTGGCGTGTCTCAGTTGAGCGGGCTTACGGCGCTGTTACAGGAAGAACCCCCCTCTGCTATTCATAGAAACATGACAGATGGGCCAGAGAAGAAGGGTGAGCTCAGGCTGGGGTGATGCTGTATTGCGCTCTCGAGGTAGTCCAGGTGCATTACCTGCTAATGAAAAGACTTTGCCATGCAGTGGTTAAGCACAGCAGCTTGACTCCAGATCTCCCAATGAGGAGGGGTCAGCTTAGTCCTTACCAAGGCTTAAACCTTACAGCTGCGGACATTTTCAGGAAGATGTCCCGCTACAAATCAAGGTTATTAGAGCGAATCAGTCCCAGATGGACCCTTCATTCTTTTCACAGTGGGAGATTCGACACACCGGCCGATGCTTTGCCTGTCACAAGTGCTTCAGAGAGGCTGCTACACCATAAATGGTGCCTTTGTTCAGCGCACTCAGGAAGACAAGGATAAATGTTACCTGGGTTTCATTTTAAGTCTGAGAACCACTGCAGGTCCCTTAACTAAACCCACTGCTTCCACGTAATGAGAAAACCATAAGAGCAATGTTATAAAATACTCCTCAAGGCACTTGAGTTAAGTGTCTGTGCAGCTTGCCAGGTAGAAACATGCAAAACACCACATCTTCATTTCAAGCTTATTAAAAACCCGGTTTCTGTGGGCAAGCAGGCATTATCTGGAAGCTTAAACATCACAGCCCTCATTTTCAATCAGCGCTTCAGGCTACTGATGACTAAGCATGGCATCATTATCTTGAGGAGCACAGATCGTGGTCCAAGTTTGACAGCACATTAACAGGGTGTCCTTGTCCACGCTCTTGTTAGCGGATCATCACGATGATCAAAACATATAAAAAACAGCGTTGAGAGAGCGATAGCTAACAATGACTTGTTGTGTGAGGACTTGGAGCCAACTCCACTGGGCAGCTGTATTGGAAGCAGGGAAGCCGTGACCGATCACATCCTGGGATTAGAAAGCAAAATAAGTAGTCTGTTTTCTCTCCACTCTTCCCCCGGAGATGACCATAAGATTTTGTATATTCTGATTTCAACCCACTTTATTAAAGTGCCATTAAGAGGGAATATTTTGGTTAAAGTTGGAGTTCTTCTGAGGTTTTTAAGGATTAAAGGATTTGCATTAATTTGGTAAGAGCATACCACCCAACAGCTATATTCACACAGGTTTGACATACAGTTTTTCAAGAAAATGTGATCATAAGTATGCACATGTTTACATCTAACAGGACATGTTAAAAGCTACTTGGGCACGGAGCTATGTGGGGTTTAGGTGTGAGGGCTGGAGTGAGTTTGACCTCCTATTCCCTTCTACTGCAGCACACAAATCACATGCAAACACTCCTTAAACAGCTGGCAGGATTATGGAGTGATAATGAACCAAGCTGCCCCACACACAGACATTGTGTGTTTAGCTACATGTAAGCACACCTTGACAGGAAACAGACCCAAACACACACAAACACACACATCTGAGTTCAGAGCTTCAGTGGGCCACCAGTGTGCAGAGCGGCTGGCTCCAGCTCAGCACTGCACAGCTATCTCCTGTGTTGACACGCAGGATACCAGTGTCTCTTCCAGAGGAAACTCTGGCTTCTTTTACGTCTGCCGGGGAAGGGAGCCCTGCGGTCTTTGGCTTCTCAGACAGGGCTTCTGTTACATGCTGCCTCTGATATAAAAGAGTCACTCACTGTTATCATATGAACAGGAAGTCTAATATCGGCTTTGGAATCATTTGATTTCACTAAATAAATGTTTCTCTCTTGTTCCTGTGCCTCAAATACACATCTGAATATACAAATTATACTTTATATTAGCAGAATTCTATATTAAATCATTTATTCTGTGTGAAAAGATTTTAATAAGGGTTTAGTGAGAATAAGTCTGTCATGCTCTCACCTCGTTGACCTGCTGCTTGTCCAGGTGAAAGATTTGTCCAGAGGAAGTGGCAGCAATCTCCTCGTACGCCCTGTAGCCAGGCTGAGAGCGGTCCCCACAGTCCCCGGTCAACACAAATACCACCTGGGAACAAGAGGGGCGGGGGGGGGGCAGGAAGAGTTAAGGGGATTACTACTGTTCAGTGTTTGCTTTACGCACTCGCTTTTCAGTGGCCTCCAAAGTGACGCTAATGCTCATTGTCATGCCTCACGTAGAGGCTGGGACTGGAGGAACTTTGAAGAGACTCTCATCTGCTCAGCTGAGAGTCAGGGCTTTGTATTGGGATGTAGATATTTCACAGCAGGCAACTGTTTTCCCTTTTGTTGTAGCGTGTGATGAATGCAGAGAAACTCAAAAGTCTGTGAGCAATGACTTCTCCCTACCAGCATCGTCATGGGAAAGAAAATCAAATGAAATCCTTGCTTACATGTTTTCTGTACAGCTTTAATACACTGCAGCTGTATTAAAGGAAGAACCTCTGTCATACTGTGAGAAGAATGAATGTAAAATGGACTGATGCGTGTACAGTATGTCTTGAACACCCTCACACCCCTGTCCACTTTGGGGCCGTACCTGTGACTGGCGGAGCTGCACCAGCTGCAGAACGTCTCTCTTCAGGCGGTAGTCTTTGGCTCTGGCGTCAGTGAACACGTAGATGAAGGATCCAGGCAGAGAAACCTCCAAGGCTTTCTTTATGGCTCCTATGCTCATCTCAGGACAGTCGCCCCCGCCCTAAGTGACAGAATTACAAATCAAATACTCCCAGAAGAAGTAAAAGCTAAATATCATATTCTAAACTGCATTCATACTGATTTTACTTTTAAAAACTCTGGAATAGCTCAACTTTCAGAATCATATCAATTTTAAAGGGTACACAAATAATGAATTGAAAAGTGCTTTTTAAAATAAGGCAATATGCTTTTTAGATATTAAAACATACATTTAGATACAAAATAAACACACAGCTCAACAAAATACACTCAGTCTAACCTGATAGATCTATATTGTCTGTGAAATTGATCTTCCTTAGTCAGATAAATAACTTTATGATTCCAGTCTTACTACGTTTTACCATCATGACATTTCCCACACTAGCTGCTGTTTGGTACTGTAGACATTACATTAGCTCACTTTCGCTTGGATTAGTGTGGATGAATACATTAATCCCACTCCTATAGAATAATGATTTCATGTATTCTGGCTCCCACCTGGACAAACAGCTCTTGCAGATCCTGCTGGAACTTCTTTGGGTCCGTGGTTATGGAAACAGGGCCGATATCTGTGAGGACGGAAATGTATATCATAACAGAGACTTAGTGAACAAAATCCAAATTAAGTTAACTAATAAATCATGTTCTACACAATAGCGTATGCCTAAATATATTTATCTCAAGGACTTAACTTTTGTGAATTACTCTTCAAACAAAAACAGCTTTATCAGAACAAAGGATTTAGTTGTTCCTTCTCCATCTTTGAGCAGAAAATAAGCCATCTTTAAAAGCCCAAATAAGCCACACGTATCAGGACCAGAAGGATGCCCTGTATCTTTTGTGCAAGACATGAATATTCAATCACAAACACCACACGGCACAGTAGTGGGTAGATTGATGCACTGACAAAATTGCAATGTTCGGGCTTTGCTTAACACAAATCACTACAATCTGGCCAAATGTCGGATGACAATAATTTTCTGCAGCTGGAGTCAGCATTTTCTACTGTTCTTCAAGCAGCAGCAGCAGCAGCAGCAGCAGCAGACTCCAGTGTGATGGATAAGAACCTGTCAGGGCCTGGCGCTTTGTTGGATGCCTTGTGGGGCCAATTGCAGGAACAGTAAACATTAACCAATACACAGAGAACACATTGTTTTTGCTACAGAACACGGCCGGCTATAAACGCAGGCCTTTCATTATAGTTGCTTCAGAGAAGACCCTTATCAGGTAGGGTGGAGCTTCACGATTTATGTGTGTCTGTGCTTGTTATTCTGACTGTCAAATAACATTTTCAAGCCTCTCTGGGAGACTAATGATACTGAGTTTGCAGACATGCGTCAAGCGGATTACATTTCCTACTCATTCACAATCCATTTTGCAACAGCAAAGTCTTTCAAGTCCTTGTCTCCTTCTCATGAGTGACTGTAAAACACTGACAGCACTGTCACGCCTCTTTGTCAGCCACCGCTGCAATCTTGGAAGTTTACAAGGTCCCCAAGGGCAGGGCACAATAAACACAGACAAAATGTGTGGTGTTAGTGTTGAAAACCATCCCCCCCTGACTGGCTAAATGTGGGGCTACGAGGGTTTTCCGGAGGCTTGGATGGAGGTGGGTTGGGTGGGGGTGAGTGGGGTAATTACACACAAGCAGACAGCATATGCTTCTCATCAGTGCTCAAACACCCTCCCCCATTAGAGCACTCTTATTTTCAAGCTGCAGCTTTCCCATAGGAGGACAGATGCCGGGGTGAAGAGACGTACCTGTCCCACACACTCCTTACTCTCACACACACATTTTCCTGATGTCTTGTATCAGTTTGAGTTTAATGTGCTGCTCTTTGTTCCAATTGTTCTACTGAGACAGATAAGGGCTACAACATGTGCAACAGGTTCTGAGTGGTGTAGCAGTTTGCTGTGATCTTTTCAAGTTAACCTAAACAGATGACAGCTACAGATATATGTCATAATCAGTGGCAATGTAAACTACATGTTTAGTTTCACATTGCAAGTAGGCTACATGCTGCTGTGTAGCAGAACAATCTGATCATTTTGGCTGATTTGTTAGAAGTTGTAGTAATTCATAATTATAATACACAAACATTAAAATTCAAGATTACACATTCGTAATAAAATAGCTTTTGTTTAACTTTTTTTTGTTTGGTCAAAGAGTACCTGGGTCATGGAAGGGGACCAGCACAAAGTTTTTGATGGGTCTGGTCCTCCTGTTCAGGCTCCTTTCCAGGATCCGCGAGGCGCCTTCTATCACCTGTTTCAGATCATCGTACATGGAGCCGGTAACATCGAACACAAAGGCCAGGGTCGAGGCGCTGTCACCGGAACCATCATCCTCCTCAGCCCGGGGGACTGCCAGGAGCCTGTGCGCGCCGACACACAGCGCCAAGACTAGGCACTTTAATAAGACACCGGTCATGTTTATTTAGATTGACTGCATCTGTCTGCTGGAATGAGGCGAATCACATAAAAAAGTTAAAAGTTGAAGAAAGTTTTTTAAAGTTCAGATTTCAAAGCAATGCAAAGTCTGGGAGCACTTCCAATCGGTAGAAAAATATATCTGGAACAATACGACTCAGCTGAAAGACATCAACATCCAGAGTAAAATACTTCCACAGGAGTACATCGGTGCGTAAAGTTTGGAGGAGCGTGCGGACTGGCTCTGTGTTGGAGAGACCCTGGAGAGCTGGTGCTCTGACGCTTCAAACGGGGGCGGAGATGGGTATTAAAAGGTTCCTGAGACCCAACCTGATTTGTGTGTGTGTGTGTGTGTGTGTGTGTGTGTGTGTGTGTGTGTGTGTGTGTGTGTGTGTGTGTGTGTGTGTACCTCGACCCCACTGTGACTTCCAGGCTTTAACCCTATCCGACACCACACCCCTCCTTCTATTCAATTTTCTCCGTAATCGAGGTGGGCCCCTAGAGACCCGGTTTTTTTTTTTTAACAGCTTTGCGCACATTACCAGCAGAGTTTGGAGCCTGTATTCTGGACATGCCGAGAACATTGTCTGAGTAACAGCTTCGTTATTATAAATAGCCTTCATTTATATCCCACCGACACCAATCTAATTTTATACATAGCACACGCTGAGAAATCTCCCCTTGACATATGAATGGGTAGAATAGCTCAGCGTGCCACTCAGAAATGACACTTTCCTTTTTTTATTGCATACATTAGCTGTTCTGGATTGAAATATGTTATTTGTTATTAAATATCATCATAAGCACTTTATGTCTAGCTATGAAAGATATTTTCAAAAGGAGATCCGACCTCATAAAGGAAGCTAGCTCTAGTCTTATAAATGTAAATAATTCAGTGTCCTCTTAAAAGTTGTAAGGACCCAGCGTATTTCTGAGACAAGAAGCCGATTGCTCTCTTCATTTAGTTACAGATGCTATTTTTAAAACTGCTATAAAATACAAAGTGAATGAAAGATGGACATAAAGCACAGAACAGCCTGTGATCAAAGCTCCGGACCCTCCTGACCTCCACATCTTGATATATCTTAGCTGTTGATAAGAAACAGAAAGCAGGTCTGAGCAGGCCTAGCAGCTTCTAAAGCCAAGGAGCCTCATTAACTCAGGGACCTCATTGTTTTTTCACAACCAATCAGTGGAGACTTTTATCACAGAACAAATAGGCACGGTTCTGTGTTTCGAAACATGGCACACGCTCAAAATTATATTATTTTTCGATAAGTGAAGAAGCTCAAGGCCATACTGATCCTATTTCAATTTTGGATACAATGCAATTACTAAAGGTTATAAATTATCGTTTTCAGAAGTGATTCATTGTGGATCATAAAGAAAGTCGCTTTGAAATACATATTTGAGCAACAGTTATTATCCAAGTACCTGAACATAAAAACGTTTCAATATTAATGAAGTACAAAGACTAAGAATGAAGCAATAGAAAAGTCAGCCACTTAAATGCATTTTATTGTGTGCTTTTATACCGTTAATCAACAGGTAAATGACATTTATCATTTAGTAAATTATCATTTGCATAAGGCATAAAATCAGTCAAGCTGATAAAACATCTTAATGCTGTAAATAAAACAATCCAACAATGGAAAAAAAAAGGCATCATCACATGCTCTGGCCTCTCACAGGACAAATACAAGTGGACAATTGCAACAACAGAGCTCGCAAAAAACTTTACAACCAGAATTGATGTCTGTTTGTGCCCGTGTCTCAATGACCAGGCTGTGTGTGTGCTGAGGGTGGAGTATGATGCTCTCAAAAGAAATAATGAGCCTCAGTTCAGATGTAAGCTGTGAGAATTGGCTGTGTTGGTCATGTTGTTCAGGATGTGGCTGTGCAACAGTGCAGACACTAGTGCTAACGGGGAAATAAAAACACAATAGGATGCAGAGACTGCAAACATAGTCAAATAATCCAGAGTAACCTCCGGGTCCTTCAACGCTCTTCTTCAAATAAAAAGCCCCATTCTCTCAGGAAAAAGGAAACTTTTGAACGTCTGAAGAAAATAAATCCCCAAATAATGAGAAATACAGTGCAATACATTTCAACACCTTTCATAAAAAATAAAACTTCATTCAATACTTATGAGGAAATTCCCATAAACGCAGCAAAGCAGAAAATAAATTACCATTCTATTTACATTATACATTGTACACTATACTGCTTTGTAACTTTTAGTAAGTGCTCAAATGATCACCAAGCAACACGTTTTGCTAGATTCTCCCAGGTTTCAAGTCTCTCCATCTGGTGGTGAAGCAGCAGGACAGTTCCTCTGAGCGCTTCACATGCATCCTCAGACTGACAGTATGTGAACAAGACACACACTAACATCTCGGAAAAGGGAATTTTGTTCCTTGGACTGTGCATTGGGAAATCACAACACTGCGTTTGAAGAAATGCTCGCACACAGTCCACAACACTCAAGGGTGTAGGTGGTGCAACAGATCTGTAGAAGCACGGATAAATGACTGAGGGATTTGCTGATGGTTTGCTGACTTCTCTGTCACATCAGAGGATATACTTGTTTACAATCCGAACTGGAAATGTAAGACGAACAGCTACTGCCACAAAGAGTTTTCAGTCCACTTCTAGGTGAGCGAGTTTAAAGTGGCTTCTTCTCGTTGCAGGTGTGATGGCGCTGGATTGGTTTGTGGATGCTGAGTTGGATCCATCTGAGAAGTTGTAAGATGATCATCAGTGAATAGAGGACAGTAAAAGGGTGTCATCAAACATGGGTGTGTTCAGAGCATGCAGGAGAAATCACTAAACAGAGCTACTGTCGGAAATATGTCTTCAAGAGCTCACTTCGCAGTTGACAAAACGCTGAACAGGATGTCAGCAACAATTGGCAGCGGCCGGTGCATTACATTAAGCAGTGAGAGCAGAGGGCTGTCTCGCTCCTCACTCAGCACTACAAGACTATTTGATTGCCAGCAAACAAGTGGGCCATTTGAATAATTCATAGGAACAAACTGAGAGCTGAAAGTGGCTTCTTCACTTTGGTTACAGCCCACAGAAGGAATTTCCTTTCTTTTTTATTCTTTGCTCTGCTGAATAAAGACTAAGAAAATATTATCCTGGAGTTAAAGCACGACCTGGGCTTGTTAATCAGCCATGCACAGATGCACGCAGCCACTCGCTCAATAAAACCCACTCACCTTACATTCCTACACAAGCCCATCATAGAGAGACAATGCCTGAACAATAGAAGGATCTGCCTTTGAACCCTCCTGAAACTCCTGCAGAGTCAGCTTCCCGTCTGCATTCTGAAAGAGGAACATAAGAAAGAGATAAAACTGAAGCCCCTTTAATGCTTTAACATGCATTTACCAGCAGGGGGCAAAAAAGCCTCTTAAGCTAATGTTGCTGCTTATCTGTGCTGTTGGACTGATCTTTGGTTCAGTGCTCTTGGATGGTAGCCACTCTCTGCCAATACAAATCACTATAAGTGCTGCTGTGCTGCACAGCTAGTCTAATTGGCCGGCCACACACACACACACACACACACACACACACACACACACACACACACACACACACACACACACACACACACACACACACACACACTACTACTACTACTACACACTACTACTATTACTACTACTACTACTTCTACTACTACTACTACTACTACTACTACTACTACTACTATTACTACTACTTCTACTACTATTACTATTACTACTACTACTACAACTACTACTACTACTATTACTACAACTACTACTACTACTACTACTACTACTACTACTGTTACTTCTACTACTACTATTACTACTATTACTACTACTACTANACACCACCACACACACACACACACACCCACACCACACACCACACACACACAAACACACACACCACACTCTGACTCATATAGTAGGAAATATCTGACGTCCGCACAATCCACCTGCAGACACACTCCACCGATTCAGCATACCACACACACACACACACACACACACACACACACACACACACACACACACCACTAAAGCAGAGTAGGTTCTTGGGGCTGAGGGAATGGACATTAGCACCGAGGGCTAGTGGTGGTGGAGACTATATATGATGTTTATAGACTGCAGGCGGTGTTAGTGACGCTGTGATGGCTACAGCTAACCGCTCTAAACTTAACAGTGTCCATGTAGGATCCCAGAGGGTAGCAACAAAGGCAGATTTAGTTCTCTTTATAGAAAGCGTATAATCTTTACTGCACTTTTAACAGGCTAAGATTGACGTAACACTATAGAAAGTAACATCAATGGTACAACAACTTGTGCAATATCACTGTCTATCACTTAAGTCTTTTGTGACTATATACTTAAATGTAAAAATACTAACCTTGTCCATCATTGCAAAAATACGGTCCACTCGTTTTTCTGGTGTGTTTTCTTCTTCTGGCAGCTCCACGGTGTTCCCCTAAAGATATTAAATCATTACATGTTGTACCATTCAAAAAATGTTGATGTAATGCTTTGGAATCTGGTAAACCATCTTACCACCATCTGATATATGGCATCTACGATGTTTAACATCTCGTCTCGGGTGATGTAGCCATCGTTATCAAGGTCGTAAAGTTTAAAAGCCCCTGTGTAGAGAAAGGTGTTAAATATAAATATTTTGGCAGGTGAGGCCTTACTAGAATAAGAACCCCCCCCTGTGACTTCATAATGTAAAACAAAAGATTAAACTTAGATCTTTCATGGAATAAAAAGCACATAGTGTTTTGTTTTATATTTGGAAGTGGTGAGAACAGACAGGCAGCAGCTTTCCATACTTGTGAAGCTTTTCCAGAAGGCGGTTAGATCACCGGACGACAGTCGGTTTCCGTGTGCACAGACAGGGCTGCTGTTAACGTCGGTCTGTACAGCAGCACTGCGCTAAAAACAGCTCACCACCCCCCCCCCACAAAATTGTGTGCACCCCTGCACATACTAA